AACAGAAAAAGGACAATTGAAAAAAGGAAGCAAACTGATCAAGCAATGGTGTGGCTCATCCACATGGCTGATACTGACAAAGGATCTACAAACTGAAGTACAGGGTTTCAGGATAAATCCTGAGGGGATTTGACTGACCTTATCAGATACAAAAGCTACATTTCTTATTATATAGGTCCTGCTTTATCCTGGTGTTAACCATCCAGCAGAAAAGTATAAAAATGAAGTATAAAAAGTAAAGCCATATTAATACGCTGAACTGTAAAAGGCTCAAGTCAACAACTTCTGACATTGCCAATCTTATGGAAAACCCACTACTATTATGGACTACTGGACTATATTGGAATATTTTGCTGAATTCATGCACCTATAATATTTAAATAAGGGGCTGGGGAGATGGCTTAGTAGAGTAAGTGTTTACCTGGCAAGCACAAGAGCCTGAATTCAATCCCTGTTTCCACCAAAAAGAAAGAAAGAAAGAAGGAAAGAAAATATTTAAATGACAATGGAATACCCTTCTCTGACAAAACTAAACGAAGAAAGGTGATACAAATGAATGATCATTTTGTATCTGTATATTCAAAATAGGATAGATATATAGCTACATTATCTTAATTAAATGAATAGAAAGATTTGTTCTAATAGTGTTTGTAAACAGAATATCATGTCTGCATCTTGTATAATGACTAACCACTAAAACAACAATATGCAATGTATTAATTATTGAAATTGTCCTACTAATCAGATTTGAAACTATCTCATTGCTATTTGTTTCTCAACAAAATTATTGAAATAAAGCAGATTAACCATTATCTGCTTCTTTCCATAGACCAGCAGAAATCCACAATATAGGGTGACAACTCGCTCGGGCCCCCCTCCTGTCCCTCTCTTAGACAGGAACTTTCTTTCTCTCAATAAATATATTCTGCTCATAACCTAAAAAAAAAAAAAGAAAAAAATCCACAATATATTTTGAACAACTAATTTAAAGGCAACACTAAGCAATTCAACAAATACTCTCAAATTAATATTTTTAGTGAAATTCTGTATCACTTGTAATATTTCTGTTTTAATACTGTTTTGTATTTTTAAAAAATAAAAAAATTTAAAAATAGAAGCTGCTTTGTTCATGCACAAAAAATACAAATAAATGTAATTTTTAGTTAACAAACAAAGAAAGATGTCTTGAGAATGTAATTTAAATTTGGGATTTGAATGTCTCTAGGTAAAGAGGGATATTCCTGACAGAAATTACCAGTTGAAAATTTAGGTC